TCTTGAACAGCATTATTCTACCTCATTTTCTTAATGCTACCCTATAGGTTTGTCAGTATCCCTTTTATCGACTCCTTCAGCTTAAATTAAATCTAAGCAAACATATATTGTTCTCTGGAAACATTATTAAGTCATAAAGCAAACTTCCATGAACAGATAAAAGATACTTTTGAAGTTATTATTAAAGTTTTATTGTGAGAGAGACCTTGCAATCTTGTAAGGGAACTACTTATTTAAACAGAACTAACTCCTAGGTAGGAGGAAAATGAAGGAAATCAAACTAAGTTGTCTTCTCTCATCAATCCAGGTCAAGTGCCTACCTACAGGTGTTCTTAAAAGGTCTCTTTCTGACTCATGATGGCTGTCTTTCTCTAACAGTTCTTCCTTCCCGTGAATTTACTCAGGAAACAGGATCTTCTGCTATAGAAGCAGAGAAACCTGTAAATTAAATAGCAAACCCTGTTACTTCTCAATACTTTTCTCCCACCTGACATCCATGTTTCTTGAGAGTTGTGGCAACCACTGAAAGAAGAATCTATGGTTCTGATACTTCCCATTGCCACCACCATTCCTCTCAGGAACCAAAATGGCCTGTGCAAAATCCAATTGCTAGATAGTGGAAGTGTGGCTATTTCATATACAAGAGGTTATTTCCCTTCAGGTGATCTCACACGGAAGGAGCACACTTGTGTTCATTTTCCTGTGTCTCAGTTGTGAAGGAGACTTGTGGACCAAGGCAACTGAACCTTAAATTACAAAAATTGATTGCTCCATGGGACCTGCCTTCTCAAATGACTGGCAAGAGAAATTGGCTTCTAGAAGTCCCTTTAACTTCTAAGAACTATGACATAGGTATTCACAGTCTGATCAGACTTAGTTTCTGCTCTTCCACTCTATTCCTCACTTGTTAATACATGGGAGACCTTAGTCCACATGGTGGCCACTTACTCTAGGTCTCAAATAATTTATTAGAAATAAGCTAGAAAATAAATAAATAAATAAATAAATAAATAAATAAATAAATGAAAACTCTGCCATGAATTCTACTCATGCCATGTTTGAATCTCTTTTCCTAATTGAGAAAGACTACAAGCATGCAGAGCAAAAGAAGATGTGAAACCACTATACACTCACCTGAGTTAAGGCAACTGGAAACACAGCATATAAAACTATTCAGGTTTGAGTGCAAAGTGCACCTGATAGGCAGCAATCGACCAAAGAAAGGTTTCAATCTAAGTTAAACTTAGGGAAATAATAAATTTATGAGGTTTACTAATAAGACCATATGTGACTCAAAGGGAGCTTTGTGCTTTATTCGTAGAAGGGGCCCTAGGCAACTCCAAGTAGCCAAATATTGAAGTTTCCCACTACAGTTAATTGTTTACTTAATATATAACCCTAGAGAGAAGAGAGGCTACATAAAATCCATGACTCACCAGGCATCATGGTGCATGCCTTTAATCTCAGCACTCAGGAGTCAGAGGCAGGTGGGTCTCTGGCAGTCGGAGGCCATCCTGGTCTACAAAGCAAATCCCAGGACAGCGAGGGATGTTATACAGAGAAACCCTGTCTCAAAAACAAAAAAACAAACAAACAAAAATTAATGACTTTCTTCTCCATTCCATGACAGAATATTAATTGGCTTGATCTCACGAGAATCTCTTAGAGGTCATCACAGATGTTCTGCATTAAGAAAGCAATGATCATGTCTATGGAGGGAAAAGTTATACTACATGTTCTGATTATCAAATATATGGATTTTTATTTGAATTTTTATGCCTTCTGTTGTCATAATAACTATAATTTTGTGTCAAAATGTCCTGATAAATAGGTTCCTCTTTTTACTGCTTTTTGAAATACCAAATGTGTCTCAGTGAGATCAGAATGTGAATACCTACGTCATAGCTCCTAGAAGATGATTTAATTATGGTCCAGACTGTAATTCTGACTTCATGTTCATTATTTATAGAACTGTAGGAAGCTTTACCACAATACTATCCATCCAGAACAATGTCAGAATACAGAAACCTCTCATTGCTCTTACACATCATTACACTTAAAAAAAAATGTACATGCAGTGAAAGTGTGTATGATTGTAAATTTAATGTATACAAAAGATTTCATTTCATTTGCATTTACCAATGTATTGCAGGTATTATATTAGATATCAGACTTCCTTATATTTATGTAATTACTACATCTAAATCATTATTTCTTTGATGGAGTCACAAGAGAGTTGTAAAGGATATGTATTGACTTCTGAACAGCACACAAATCTTATTTGAGGTTTCCAAGTAAATAATTACTTAGTTTCTTCAAAAGGTGTAACAAAGGGTTTATTGAGAACTTTATTTTAATATGTAAATAATCAAAAATTGTCTATACCCTAGCAAGCTATCAGCCTGACAATAAAGTCCAAACACACCACATAGATGCTCAGAATTTGAAGAGCAGTCATCAAAACCATTTATGAAAAGTACTAACTCAAGTCACACATCCCAGAATGAGGCTCAGCATTTAACACATCAGTTTCTCTGTCAGAACTGTAGAATCTTCCTGTAAAGAATTTCTGTCACTTGCCAGTAGAATAAAAGCAAAATAAAATAAAAATCAAATGAAGTTAAAATAAATTAAATTAAACTGAAATAGAGAATAACAGTTTCCATCAGAATGGTAAAACATTCCAGCCTACATCCAGACATCAGAGCAAGGAGTGGAAACTCTCCCAGAAACCAGAGCACAAGACCACAAGCAGCACACTGTAAAGTGTTTTACAGTGATGACCAACAGCACTATGCAACTCAATACGCCTTGGAGCGTTGCTGGATGAGATCACAAGACAAGAATTTAAATTCTGACGGATTCATAGACGGCGGCCAGTGGTTACATTCTCTTTACACACAGGATGGTTTACAATAAAGTTCATGAAGCAGAAAAATGGCCGAACACGTTTGTCTCTAGGTGACTTAGAGAGGGGAAAAAAAGAAACTAATTCAAAACGCTTTGCTTATGACAGGTTTGAGACTTGTTTCAGAAACAATAACCTCTGTTCCTTTTTTTCTTTTATGGTTCTTCTCTGAGACACATTCTTAATGGAAACCTAGATAGTCAAGGAGGGAAGATAAAGAGGAAGTGATCCAAGAACCCCAGCGAGCCAGCCTCAGCCTGCACTGTGTGAGGGGGAAGTGGCCTCTGACAGCTGTGATCACTGTGTGAGAGGGAAGTGGCCTCTGACAGCTGTCCATCACTGTGTGAGGAGGGAGGTGACCTATGACAGTTGTCCATCATTGTGTGAGGAGGGAGGTGGCCACTGACCATTGTCATCCCTCCACTGATGCCTTCTTCTGAAGGAATTTGCAAAGCAAGAATTCTTCATGTAGAAACACAAAAAAATTAAACTTCTATTTTTTGAGTTTTGCACGTTGTTCATTCACTGAAAATATATCAGCCTTACTAATGCAGAGGAGACATTCTCCATCACACTGTAGAAACTAACGGCTTATTCAAGAAGAGACTAGAATTGCCAGTTCCATATTCCATGCCATTAAGCAAGGCAATGAAAATTCAACTGTACAGTTTATCCAGTGAAAAGAGGGTAGTGGTCATATTTATACTTTCCAAAATTACTCTAGTAATTATCAGTTCCTTGCAGTGTTTATATTACAAAATTGTTTTTCATAAACCACATGCTCACAATAGTTCTCCTTCATGGCTCTCTAGTTACTGTGTAAAGATTTTTTTTTTTTAAATCTAGAAAAACATCAACCTGAAAATTTCTTCATGTTGATATATTTAGTTTTTATTTAATTGAGGCAGTTACTGAAGAAAACAGTCTATTTATAACATAAAACTCTCTTTGTAAAAACATTTTTTATGTTTAAATTCATGCTAAATACATATAAATCTAAAACAAGGAACAAATTTTACCTACATATATTTGAAAGGATAGCGCATAGAGTTTTGATTTCTTTATCCCTGTTTAATGCTGTTTCTTAAATTGCCTAAAAATGCTGGCTGCTGAGAGTGGCCTGGCTAACACTGTCATTTAGAAGAGCATTGAAATGTGCCCTCAGCTATGAAAGTCACAGGTTCTTGCTTCTCCTGCTACTCCTGCAATCGGGAGTTTGTAATGGAAATGACAACACACCATTAAGTATAGCACTAGCTTGCAGGCATCGATATAAATATCATTACAGATTAAAGACCTCTGCAAGAATTCAGGCAAGTAGGATTAGCAAATAAACCATTAGAGCTGGAGATTGAATTCTGATAGGCCCAACAAAGCAGAATGTCTGCTAGAGTCTCAGTTTTGTTTATTTCCCAGAATGGCAATGGTTCTTCTTAGTTTGCAAAGTGCCTCGTACGTGAATCCAGTGGCTGCACAGTGCAGCCAAGGGTTGTGGAAGGATACCTGAGGTTATGAGGGAAGTAAGCAATGAAAAAAGAGGCTTTTGTCAATGTATTGGAGTTGTGGCACAGGTCATTTACAGAGACTGAAATTTCAGAGCCATTAAGTGTTGTAACAGGATCCTGGACAATGTAAGGTGGATTCTTTTTTTCTGCATTTCATGGCCTTGGGCGATCCCTTTATCAATCCCAAAGGATTTAAAGTCTCCTATGGCAGTAATTGTTAAAAGCTCAACACTATTATTTGGCTAAACATTTACCACTAATACACACTTGATGCACACAAACACAGTTATGTGCAGTCCTTGGAATGTTCACACCCTCCTATGTAAAATTTAGTGTGATCTAAGTCAGAGACATTGCCTTTATGAGGCTATTTTGTCCTGAGGACAACATTTCCTGAATGGGGGAAAGCACCCCTATAATATGGTTTTAAATGTCTCCCAAAGATCCCTCTGTCCCAGGTACCATCGTGGATCTATTAGGATTGAAGAACTTGTAAGAAATAGGAAGCAGTGGGGAGTCTTCATTTAACATGACCTCACAGAGCACAGAGGATGCATGACCTTCCTATTTCTGTCTTTCTCCTTCAGGTCACAAGGTGACTGATTTTGTTTCATCACATGTCTCTGCTCTGATGTTCTGCCAGACACAGTATCATCAGACACTGTGATCTAGAAGGTCTCAGATTGGAGAATAACAGGTAAGTTTCTGGTATAAATGAGCTACCTAGTTCATAGTATTTTGTTATAAAAGAAAGGCAATATAGTATGTGGTCTGTGTGTGAAGGTTTGCACTTACAAATGTGTGTGTGTGTTCCTTCTAACAAAGTATGTTTCCTACTCTGCCCAGCTTACTCAGACAATGACTTTATTTCTCTTGGGTTATGATTCATATAAGCCAGAACATTTTCATATTATTGACATATAAAGATTTAAACTGCATCTGTGTCCATCTTGACTTTTACATGTATTTACTTCATGGGGGGATATATTAACATAACTTTTCCTACTGTGGTTTCATGTGCTTAACTTCTACCCACTACTGAGCCATGCTGCAACACAATCACTCTACGAGCATGACAAATCTCTATACAGAGAAAATATTACTTGTGTGAATTTAATGTTTGTCTTGTTCTGATGTCTAAAGTTCCTATACAGGATATCTGTAAAGGAGAGTTCAGAATTCTTTCTCCTTTCTTTTAGCACAGCACAGGTGGTGAATCAAAAGAAAACAAAAATGGAAGGAAGACTTCTGCCAGACACTGAGTTACGTCTCTGGATCCCTCTCTTTAAGGAAATTGAAAGGCATAGTGAGAGCAGTGGTTGACCCTTGCACATCTGCAGCATAGGGGCACAGGAACTGGTGGGGAAAAACTCAAATAGAGCCACTCAGTGTAGTGCTTTGACTTACAGCTTTATTAATTTTTTCATTATTTTTCTCGTAAAAGAAGTTAGATAACTAAAAGAAATTAGGTCAACAACGGCTTCCCAAAGTTTAATAATGGCAAAAAATGACGCCATGAGAAAATTCTGAGAAAAGGTGAACAGTATGAGTGAAATGAAAAGCACTGGTCTATGGAGGTCACAGGATAGGCGGCAGCAAGACCAGTTAGAAGCAACTCAATAAATCTAATTGTCAAAATGATAACAGAGTCATGATGCCTAGCAGCAGGCTACAACTGGTCAGGGCAAGAAAATAGCCATGGATGCATGGCTGACAACAAGAAGAAACATGACCACTTAGGGCTCCAGCTTCAGAGATAAACAGAGTGGAGTGAGAACTGGAGCCCCAGACCAAGTGAGAATCCCCATGGCGGGAGTGGTGCGTATGACTGCTGTGTGCAAACATTTGGGAAGAGCATGCATTTTGGTTTGTGAAGGTCAGGAGCTTAGGGGAAGTTAAATTGTTATCTTTGGGGGCTAGAAGACCTTATTTTGGCAAAACATAAGTGTTACTTCTTGCCAGACAATTATATATGTGTTGAGTTCCTAAGAGGACACTCTGTATCTCTGATGATACATTAAAACAGCCATTCTAGACCAACCAGATGGTCCAGTGAATAAAGAAACCTGCTGCTAAGATGAAGACTTATCCCCAGAACCTACAGAGCAAAAGGTGAGAACTGATTATCACAAGTTGTTCTCTGACCTCCATACTTGTACTGTGGCATAGGCATGTCCACCTACCTACACACATATACAAAATAATAATTAAAAATAAAAATTAACAATTATTAAGTAAAAGAACATATAGTACTTGTGAATCTCAGGCATTGATCCAAAAGTTTTGAAATTAATTTTTCCTTTATTTATTAATTGCAACAAGGGCATGGAGACATTATAATCAACATCTTCATTTACAAATGTAACCTCAGTGCCACACCCAGTATGGGCTTTGGTGTTGAAATGAAACAAGTCTGTCATAGTCTGTGTAGGTGCATAGTAGGTCACCTGTAGGAGCACTAAGAAGGAACACAATATATAGCCTTTATGAAATGATGGATAAACTCCTGAAAACAACCAGGCAAAGTGTATCATAGAGTAGTGGCCAGACAAACATAGGGCAACTTGAAAGTCATTCTTCAGTGTTCCTATCCCACATATTTTTTACTTAAGAAATTATATGTATATATATATGTATATATATATATATATGCACATATATAGATACATAGATATATGTTATGCTCTCAAACTATACTTCATATATTATAACTTAAGATCATACTTATTGATGATGAAGGTACATAATAATTTATATGATTTCATTAATTCTGGAAACAGTTTGCTTTTTTACTATACTATCATGTTGAAATGATTTCTATCCTTAGCAAGTCTTTTCTATCATGGATAAGAATGGAAAAATGTGCATGAGAGGTGTGCCTGCTTCATTATTCTGCTACATTTTAGTTTTGAAGTTTAAATTCTCATACTTCCATGAAAAATCCTAGATAGACTAAGGTATTTTTTAGAATTTTGTTTAATTTATTCTAGTTAGTAGTCAAGCTTATTTATATATTTTTTAAAAAAAATTTAGACAGTATAATTTACTTAAAAGAAAAATCATAACATTTAAAATATCTATGATTGAAGTTGGTGTGCTATTGAAAAAAGGGAGTCATGGAGACTTGGAGAAAAGATGAGTGTGGTGGAAAGAAGATAGTAGCCTTGCAAGTATACAGAGATTTGCTGTTCATTCATGTAGGAGGGAGGTCTCCTGTGCCACTTTTATGGTATCAGTATCAAGAACACATGGCAGCTCCTATGATGGTGGTTTAAAATCTTAGTATCATACTACTGCAGTTAAATTCAAAGGTTGTACTCTAGGTTCTATGGTTATAACTGGCTACAGGACACCAACTTCATTTCAAGAATTTTGGAGAAATATAAGTCTGAGGCCAGACAAAAATATTTGAAAGTTGAAAGAAAATGATTGTCTTCCTTGTCTTGCTACAAAATATTGTTGAAAATTTTCTGAGTAATAAAAGGTAAAGATGCCGGGCAGTGGTGGCGCATGCCTTTAATCCCAGCACCCAGGAGGCAGAGCCAGGTGGATCTCTGTGAGTTTGAGGCTAGCCGGGTCTACAGAGCAAGATCCAGTACAGGCACCAAAATGACACAGAGAAACCCTGTCTCAAAAACCAAAATAACAAAAAAAAAATTATAAAAATAAGGTATGGAAAAGAAGAAAGACTATTTAGAAACAATGCAGTTTTCTACTTAAAATATGTGAGGGCTGGGGCTGTAGCTCAATGACAGAATAGTTTCCTTATATGTATGAAATACTAGGATATATATATATACATATATATATATACATAAATATATATATCATACATATATACATATATATATATATATTCATGCAACATTGTGGACTATTCCTTTATACTATGTTAATATATGACACTGTGATTGGTTTAATAAAGAAGCTGACTGGCCAATAACTGAATAGGATAATGTTAGGTGGGAAAGCAAAACAGAGAATTCTGGGGAAGAGAAGGGCAAAGTCTGAGGAGTCACCAGCAGATGCAGAGAGAACCAAGATGTACATGCTGTACTGAGAAAAGGTAACAAGCCATGTAGCAAAGTAGATAAGAAATATGGGTTCATTTACATGTAAGGGTTAGCTAATAACAAGCTATTGAGATATTGGCTGAGCATTTGTCATTAATAGTAAGACTCTGTGTTGGTTATTTGGGAACTGGCAGGTGAGAAAGAAACATCTGCCACCACAGCATCAATGATATTATTACCTGATTGCATGCTTGATAAGTGAGAGTCAATGAAGACGAACATGCTAGGATACATGTCAATGATACTTTAACGAAAGTAAGGTAAGTAAAATTTGAAAGTGATAGAGATAGGAATATCAGATAGTAGTAACAAATGCAAGAGAACAAAAAGTAAAATTATTAGAATGTTGATTGATTCATTTAATCAATTATATGACAATAATAAAGTTTCTATTCATCTTCATAACAACTAGTTATTATGATATACAACTAGTTAATATGAGCTGTAAGAAGGATTAGAAAGGAAAACTTAAACAAACAGAGTCAACTAATTTAAGAATTTCACAGTTTTGGAAGATAGGCAGGTATGAAATATATTCATGTTCATGACATATACATATGTATTCATCAAGCCCATGTACCATTTCCCTTTTCCAACTCCTTTACCATACCCCCAGCCACTACTCTCACTAACTTTATTTATTTATTCATTCATTCATCCCTTTATTTATTTATTTATTCATTCATTTATTTATTTGTCACTGAGTCCATCTATCACTAGAAGTGTGGATATTTATGTGGGACCATCTTTTGGAGTAACATAGCATGTCAGGGGCCATATTCTTGAAAAAAACAAACTGACTTTCTTATGAGATGTTGTAAATTACCAACAGCTCTTTAGCTAGGAGTAAGACTTCCTGACTTCCTAACACCGTGATGGGGTTTTGTCTGTCTTTACGTTGCAAAGAACTTCTGTGTATGTTCACAATAACTACCAGTACATGTGTGCTGCCATTACTGGGACATCCTAAGACAAGACAACGGTGTCTGTGGGTCAGTAAAGGGGGAGGAGATCAACCACTCCAGAGGTGGTGTCAGGGAACAGTGTTGCTGTATTGCATGTCAGAAACCATGTATATAGTGGAAGTCTACCGACTGTGATTGGTTAGCACATTACCTTGGATTGCGTAGGGAGCACTCATGCTGCCAGGACTTCTATGAAAAAGAAGCACATTAAAGGAGACTTGGAGAGTTCATACTCAACTGCAGGCCAGCTACTCGATACACATGCCAATTCAGAATTCAGTGTTCTGACTTTCTGGGGAATGGTGTGCCATGCCTCTTATTCAGAAGTGAAATGTGCCAGGTAGGTTCCCAGCCAGGACATGCCTGCATTTTCTCCTACATATGTGGGCATCTGCCTTGTGTGTCATGAAACTAGTTTCCTGTAGTCATCTACCACTTAGGCATCTTACATTCTTTCCAACCCTGTAACGTTTACCTATATTTGGCTAGTATTAATAAAATCTCAGGAGTCAGAAATTGAGATTAAAAACCTATAAATCCAAGGAACAGCAGAAGAATGATCAGTTGACCCTACTTTCCATGGTTTCCTGATCCAAAAGCCTTGGAAGTATCCGCCCCAGCCCCTCCTTCTCTCTTCTTGTCCCTCTCTATCCAACTTCCTCAGTACTCTGACATCTCTATGGATAATCCTGGTCAGTCGATTGTGTACTCTGTTCTTGATTCAAAAGGCTTTATCGGCACCATGGAGTAGCAGTGCAAACGATTCTCCTGCAACACACCCCCACTTTATCCATATTTCCTGAAGCCTGTAAAGAGATGTCACACTGAAGGCTGAGTTTCTGTAGTCTGTTATTCTCTTCATGTTGAAGAGCTGATGAGTTATGGGTCTCTGTGTTAACTGCTCTCTACTGATAAAAGGAATTTCTATGATCAGGGTTGATTTATGTGCTACATGTCCATTTAGCAAACTAACAGTAGTAGCTCCTCCCACATGGCTGAAGATCTAACTAGTCAAATGCTCTTCACACTAACAATGGTACAAAGGCTCGAGTTCTATTGTGAGGAGTAGGCCTGTACTCCAATCAGAGAGTGGTTTGTTATTCCTAGGGCATTCCTGTCAATATTGCAGCAGTGGGTATATGCTATCATCTGGTAATTATTGTAGCTATTCAGTTAAAATCTGGGTAAGAATAATAATTATTTTCTCCTCTGGTATCCTACCCAGTTCATTCTAGCATAATGAAAAATATTTAGTGCAGATGAAGTTTCCATATTCTATGACTCAAGTATTTGATGTCTTCAGTAACTGGGTTTCACTATCAGATTATAGAAGGTAATCAATATCAACAGCAATAGTCTGTAATGCTTTGGGATCTGTGCTATTTCACTGATCAACAACTCCAAATGAGTTAACTCATTCCTGAAATTGGGGTTTTTACATGATAGCCTATGATGTCTAGGAAGGTCATTGTCCCTCATTATAGTACTAGTAATTCTATCTAAATTCTTTTTACATATGTGTATATGTAAATTTTAGGATGATTCTACAATAGTAAGTTTCAAAATGAGTTTGTCAAAGTTCCTTAGTATTATTTATGCCTCCCTATAAACTCTCCTCTACTATGTCCCCGTATTCTCTACATCAACTAGTCCCTCTCTGTAAACAGAGACTTTTTCTGTCCTGCCCCATCCTGTAGCCACTTCCAAATAATCATGCAGAGACTTATATTAATTATAAATGCTTGACCGATGGCTCAGGCTTATTACTACTTAGCTCTTAAATTCAAGTTAACCCATATTTCTTATCTATTCATTGCCACATAGTTTGTGATTTGTTACCTTATTTTTTATACATTTGCTTCCTCAGTGGCTTACTGGCATCTCCCCAACTTTGCCCTTCTTCATCTCTGTCTTCAGTTTGTACAGCCTAATCTAATTCTGCCTCAAAAAACAGTTTTATTTACCAACCAATGAGAGGGACACCTATTCACATCATACAGAAAGACCATCCTACAGCACCTCTTGTTCCATTAATTCCTATTCCCCTTAATTCCATCTGAGTTCTGCTTCTTCTCTCTTAAAGGAACCCCATTCCTATGTTGTATCAACACAAATCACTCAGTCTCTCACATAGGGTTCAACCTTTTGGACCACTGCTATATTTGCTTATTTTTCTTTCTCAGAATGTCATGGATATATCCTTGTCCTTATCCCTTCACTTCACTGGGATCCTGAGACGATGACTTACTGACATAATTTTTTGCCAGCCAGTGGAATCCAGTGCTTCTTCTCTATTTTCAAAGAAAGAAAAAAAGTAATGGGGTAGGGAGTAGGAGGTAGAGTAGGAACAGGAGCAGTAGGAGAAGAAAGAGAAGGAGGAGGAGGAGGAGGAAGAGGAGTGGAGAGAGGAAGAGGGGGAGAGAGAGAGAGAGAGAGAGAGAGAGAGAGAGAGAGAGAGAGAGAGAGAATCACCCAGTCCTCTGAAAACACAGGGCATAACAACAGTAAACACAGTTAGCACTCTGTTATATTTGATTTATTTATTCAAAGTAACTCAACCTCTACATGCATTCAAAATTTTAATTATTTTCCTTGTAAGAAAAATCAGTTAAGTGAACTGAAATAATTTCCCCAAGATTACATAATATGTTATTATGTAAGCTCAACTTTGATAATTGACCAATCTGATTTAAATATAATGCTTTTGATGTTATACTGTCTTCAACTTTAATAATATTCTGGGAAGCAAATGAAATTACAGGTGTCTATATAAGCAAATTATGTTATTTATAGCTTAAATTATTATAAACACATAATATCACTATGCAGAGAGAAAATTGAATTCTTAAAATTACAGTATTAAGAACAAATATTATGAGGCATACTATTCTTATATACACATAAAAGGTACACATCTCTCAAGGAAATTCAGAAAATTTTCAAGTAACACAAAGTGATCCCAAGTTTTATCTATAAGTGATAAAAATTAGGTAATTACTACAAGTTTGAAATATATTTACCTACTGTAGTAAACAGGAAAAAAGTACACTATTGACAGCAGAAGAATATTAATTATTAAGAAAGCGCAGTCATTTGGTCTTTCACTGAGGGTCTCCACTGTAGCTACACATTATTGGATGTTTCAGCAATCAGCTATTTTCTTATTTTAAATATGATAGTGTGTTGCTACAGAAAAGCTATCCATACAAACAAAAATACTGTGTTGTTACAATAAAGTCTCTGAAACTCTTAGATTACATTGGCATCCATTTTTGCATTTTTTATGAATATATGGATAAACTTTTCCTAACAAAAATCTACTTCTTATTTCCTGTTTGAAAAATTACTGACAAAAATTGCTGTAGAAAAGAAGACTTTTTAACATAGATAATGTGAGGCAATATACACAAAACCTTCAATTCTAGCTACACAAATTTTAGTTTTTACCACAAGCATACTATACAAGAATGACTCAATAAATAGCTAGTCATTCAGTGATATAAATTGCTCTAAAAATAATAAAAACCTAAAGTTTCAGCTGAAAATGTGCGCAGGATCCAGTGGAAAGACTGATGAACAGTCCCAGTGGGAAGATTCCCTGACTATGCATTAAATTTCCCAGTATGCCAGGTCATTTTGGAATGGCATTCTTTCTAATTAATAGCTACTCAGATTAGCTCAATCCTATCTCTTTCTTCAAGTTCTTGTTACAAGCTGATTGTCGTCTCTGAGTAAGCCAGTCTAATGAACATGCTACCTTTTTCAAAGAGTCTGTTATATTTATTCCCTTTATTACATGGAATAACTTAAAGAATCTGCCCTATGCGATAATTCTGTAAGTGGATTAGGTGTGGTTTTCTGATATATTTCAGAACTGTGTGTGTGTGTGTGCATGTTCTCATGCTCACATACAAACATACACAAACATCTGTTTGCTCTGGTTTCTAAGATTTGACAAACTACATCTCAACAATTAATAACTTCAAGTAATTTTTCTCCTAAAGTAGAGGTACTGTAAGATTTATAGCATATGTAACAGTTGTGTTCCAATAGACACCCCAAAAATGGTGGAAATAAATTTATAAGAGAGACATGGAATGTTTGGGCTGTACAAACTCAAAAAGGCTAGTGGGATTCATCTGCAACACTAGCAAAATAACCAGGGACAAGAGGATGTGGTGCTGATCAAGAAGAAGCATATAGTCATTACTGGTTTACAAGGTAAGGAGGCAGAAGAGGCAGGCAGAAAGTAAAGTTACTACTAATGTTGTTTCCTGACGCTGTGTAAATTGTGT